TGTAGAAGCGGCGCTTCACCTCGTCGTTAAGGTGCTCCGCCCACACCGTCGTCAGCGCGCGCAGCCCCTTGGCCGTCTCGACGTACCCAACCATGCCAACCACAACCATCGGCGGCGCCTCGAGCACCGTCACCGCCTCCACAACCTCCTTCTTGTGCGCCTCTGCGAGGCGGGGGAGGCGAAGTGGGTGGTTGGGGGGGGAAGTCGGCGGTGCGCTCCCGCGGGTCGCGTGCCGCTCTCTCACCCCCCGCCCCCCTCTCTCCTTTGCGTCTGCAGCCCAGCCCCCACGTGCGCGGCGTGGGGCGCGGCGGTGGGGCGTCGCTGGCGTTCGCGCGCGAGGGCTACAGCGCACTCGAGCCCGGCTTGTCCACATCCCGAAGGATGTGCGTCATGCCGGCCTTGTAGGCAAGGAAGGCGGTCAGGTGCGGCGCCTTGCTGCGGTCGTCCTTCGGGAAGGACTTGACCTTGCCGCGGTGGCGGCTGGCACGCTTGCGCGGCAGGAAGCCGAGCGAGCCGTGGCGCGGCCTCTCAAACTTGCGGTGCGACATTTGGGAGCTTCGGCGGTAGACGGGGCTGCTGAGGGGCAGCGGAGAGATGGGGCAGCGGAGTGATGCCTCGTGCACGCGCCGGCCGCGTTTTCTTTTTTTGGTTTACTACTCGTAGTACAATACTTCTCCTCGAGGACAGCAAAACCAATGCCCTCCTCGCGTTATGGTATTGTTGGTTATTTTGGGCTGTTGCAAGGCTCCTCATGTCCGCGTCGGATACAGCCTTGAGGCTGGTCAGTGCTGCTGTGATCAGGAGGGTCGCGCCGGCAACGTGTGGCGGGATGGAGAAGCGATCGCAAAGAATGGCTAGCGAGGGCACCATGAACTCCTCACACACGAGCGCGAGCCCGTAAAACATTGCCAGCGAAACAAGGACCAGGAGCGGCAGCGACGCGGCCTGATAGGCGCAGCCCTCTTCCGGTGGGCCGGCGGCGAAGCTGACATTGCCGGCACAGAGAAGGCGTAGCGCATGCGCCTCCCCTGTTTTTGTCCCAACCGACATCTAAAGGGCTGGCATCACAGCGCGCGTCCCCTTGACCTTCCGCCGTTTCCGCACGGGTGTTTTCTTTTTCCACGCTGCCCCCGGCGGAGGTCGAGGCGCAAGCGGCTCCGGCTCAGGTAATGTGGCTATGCTCCGGTGGACAAACGGGGGTTTCATTCTCTGGGCGTTTTGTGCTCCTAATTGCAGCGCCGTCGCTATCGGAGCTTCCAAATCCTCATCGCTGC